CACCACCACCACCACCATCCACCACCACCAATACCATCTCTACCTCCACCTCTACCACCACCCACCACCACCACCATCTTTACCTCCACCTCCACCACCACCCACCACCATCACCACCACCACCATCACCTCCACCACCACCCACTACCATCACCACCACCACCACCATCACCACCATCTCAACCTCCACTTCCACCACCAAACCTATAAAATTACTAATTTTTTCTCTATAGACGTTCCTGTATATCCAGTATTGTGATGAAAGTTGGTTATGACTTAACTTAGGGATGAGCAAACTGTGGATTGATACTTCTTTTCAAGAACGTGAGTCAAACATAATTCCTGCATCCGTAGATAGTTGAAAAATAACAAAAGAAGAACACTTCATGACGTGAAAATTACCGAAAATTCAATTTTAGTGTCCACAAATAAAGTCCATTCTTTTCCTCATTAAGGATATAATGCCAAAAATTTTACTCATAATATTTTAGATTTTTTAAAGTAAAATTATGTGGAATTTTTTAATCTTATTAATTCTCAATGTGACATCATTGATTTTATTGTTTGAACTACACATTTTTACAAAATATTTACTTTCTGGATCTTTACACCAAGTGTGTGTGCTGACATCAAATCTATATCATCTCATAGTACCTCTTACAGTTTTTGCACCATATAAGGAAGAACTAATTTAAAGGGTAGCAAATAGACCTTTTTTAAAAAATTTATTTATTTTTATTTCACGTACACTGGTGTTTTGCCATGGGTGTTGGGTCTCAGGAACTGGAGTTACAGACAGTTGTGAGCTGCCATGTGGGTGCTGGGAATTGAACCTGGGTCCTCTGGAAGAGCAGTCAGTGCTCTTAACCACTAAGCCATCTCTCCAGCCCTGCAAATAGGCCTTTATAAATAAGGAAATGAGAATTTTTAAAATAGGAAATATACTACCTAGTACATTGCACATGGTGAGGTGCAGTGTTATCTTGTGGAGGATTTATTTCAGAAAAGCATGCATATGTGTACTGGGTTGGCCATCATGTCAACAACAAAGTAACTTGTAGTCTGAGGAAGTACAGTGTTCCACTGTAATCTCTGTTAGAGCGAAGGGGCCTGTCTTATGCTTTTTTTTCTTTTACTTTGGTAATGTCTCTGGAACAAAACTCTCTGTCTCTGTCTCTCTGTCTCTGTCTGTCTGTCTGTCTGTCTGTCTGTCTGTCTGTCTGTCTCTCTCTCTCTCTCTCTCTCTGTGTGTGTGTGTGTGTAGGCCAGAGGTTGACCTCAGCTGTCTTCCCCTATCAGATCACTCTCCACTTTATTTTTTGAGACAGTATCTCTCACCGAATCTCACACTCACTATTTCAGCTGGACTGGCTAGTCAGCAACACCCCACCCCGCATATCTGCCTGGTATGTCCCCCAAACACTGGGATTACAGACGTGCTGCTGTATCTGTTTGTATTTCTTATGTGAGTGCTGAGGACCCAAATCCAGCCCTCTTGCGTATGCAGCAAGCATTTTACCCCATGAGCTGTCTCCCCAGGCCTAAAAATAAGTTTGTATAGGGATCTGAAGCAGAGAATGAAATAGCAAAATTACTGACCATTTGAACCAGTGTGAGATAAACTCTGAACATACCTTCATATATTCAACTCAGTGCAAATAGTTACCTGAAATAAGGATCCATATATCCATATATGTGTGCATGCGTGCACATACACACACACACACACACACACACACACACACAGATGCATACATAGAGATACATATAGAGAAACACATATACACATACACACAGACACATACACACACACAGACACACACACACAGACACACACACATACACAGATACACACACACACACACACACACACACACACACACACACACACACACACACAGTGGACATATAAACTGGTTGATCCATTGGAGAAGCTCTCATCCAGGAAGCCGAGCTTGAATCCCTTCTAAAGGAGGGACAGGACAGGCTCTGAGTGGGGTGGGGGTGCACAGGAGATGCCCTCTGGACTTGGGGTCTGAGGTTCCCTTGCTGCTCTGCCCAGATCTCCTGGGAAACTTGGATCCTTCCTCTGCCAAGATCCTTCCACCCAGGGGAGATGGGAATGACGGCAGTGATGATCACACCTGTGCTGTCACACCCGGGGGAGGGAGGGAATGCAGGTGGGATGTCTTTCCATCCCACACAAAGGTGAGGCACTTAGTACGTCAGGGAAATGTTTGCCATAGGATCCTAGAGCGGGTCAGGGACGTGCACTGCCCAGTGCCACATGGGGAGGTCAAGCCCCCCCGTGCTTGAACTAGAGAGTCCCCGAAGTACAAGGTGAAATGCAAACACAGACTTTGAAACACGGGTGGTAGAAGGTTAGTCGTGCCTTTGTGCACATGCGCACTCACACAGCCATTGTGAGGCCAAGGCTCTGGTTACATGAGGATGGCAGCTTCCAGAAGAGGCCTTTGACTCTGACATAGAAGGGAAGGCTTGCCTGCCTAGTTGTGACGGTGACTGCCGTGCGGGGAGGCCCTGTGGATGAAAGGTCCCCCTGGAGTGAGTGACTCCCCCAAGCTAATTGGTGCATTACTCTCTGTGATGGGCCTGATGGTGCCGAGCTAACCAAATGAAAAAAAATCAAATGAGGAATGGAACCCGGGAGCCTAAAAAGTTAGTAAATTTTGACATCAGAAATAAAATCAAATTCCAACACTGCTTTTCCGCAGTGACAGGCAAATCTGTCCACGTCAGAGCAGCGGCCTGTGGTGGGTGGTGTCGCGTGCCTTTCCTTCCCCTTCCTCTTTTTCCTTTTGCAAAATCAGCATTAGGCTATTTGGAGGACAGGCGAGAACCATTATGTTAAATTGCGCTACCTACAACTTAAGCTTCTGTCTTTGCTAAAGCTGCCAGTTTTTATAAACAACAGAAGACAGAAAGGGTTTACTAAGAATAATGTTGAAGCCCAAAAGAATCCTACAGCCTATAAATCTTAATAGAGGTTCTGAGATTCCAGCAAGCTGGATGTGTCTCTTTTACCCGGGCTCACTCTATCTTGGCTCCCCCGTGATGACTCCAATTTTCTCGAAGCACCAGCACGCTGCCTTGAATTTACTTGTGGCACTATTTGCCTACAAACAGGAATACATGCATATAACCTATGCAAATCAATAAAAACATGTCAAGACCCCTTAGCTCGCACCACTCTCCTAAAATGCAATTTATCTCACTGCAAATGAGAGTAGGGGACTCGGTAGCAAATCGTGCTTGATCATTTAACTAGCACCTGTTGTCACTGCCTTTGAAAACTGCATTTTTCATTTGACATACAGTAAATTGCATTTTCATATATATTGAATGGAAAGGGGAGTTGGGATGTACATATGCGGCCCTTTATGCATTTTATGAACAATGGATGTTTTAGAGCCATGGATGGAAGGGGTCATGTCAAAAACCCTGCCGATCTGTTTATTCCTTCCTCCTTGGTTGTGAACGTGCCGTACTTTTCTTCTGGCTGGGTGTTGAAGTGTGCCAACGCTGAAAGTATAATTATAACATTCATGTTAGGTGAAGGACAATTACTATAATTTTTGTATAAAATTGAATATAACTTAAACGTGTAAACGTGAAATATTATTTTTGAAAAAAAGTTTCTCGGGGAAAACTGCTTTTTATAAATTACATTTTTTCTGTCAATCCCTTTGTTGGCTTAAATTATGAGTCACTTTTTTTTAATGCAATATTTTGTTTGCAGATGGGTGGCTGGTGCACAAGTTAACAACACTTAGGCTTATCAGCAACAGTGGTTTCCACATTCGTGAGCATGGCTTGGCAGTATTATTTGACATCTGGAACAAGCTATATTATACCAGCCATATCAAGTATGTCTGAATGGATCATTTAACTGGCATTTGTTTCAAAAACTCCCACTCTTCAGCTCTTGCCTGGCTGTCATGATACGCCAGCAACACATCTTACGTTCCTCTGGCTTCCCTGTTCCTCTTATACCTTTGACGGTTTCAGGCTCGATCCCTTCTTCTGCTGGGCAGTTTGTAACAGCAGCCGTGAGGCCGTCTTCTTACCTCTCATTTGTGGAGATGACCAGGGCCCAGACAGCTACAGGGCTCGGACCTGTGACCATTTCAGTTTGGGAAGTAGTTCTTCAGGTGTGCTTGGGGCCTTACCTCTCATTTGAGTTCCTGACCGCGGGCCTCTTGATACACCTCCATTTGGTGTGGCCGGGGTCCCTGTGTCACAGGTAGAGATGATCCCTTGACTCTCGTGTAGCCTGGACACAAAGGGAGAGAAATAAGGATGAGCCCCTGCTTTGCATCCTTAAATGAAAGAACTGCACTGGGGCAGAGAAGGAAGAAGGAAAAGGAGAAACAGAAATAGCAGAATGTTAAAGCGTCATCTCTCTCCCCTTTTCCTGTCGCCCTCTTTCTCTGGGGTCCAACCATGTCACTCAGGCTGGCTTCAAACTTGGCATCCTCCTGCCTCTACCTCCCAATGAAAGTATCTCTTACGAGATCTAGTTACTTACTCCTCTCCACTTGGGGGCCCAGCGCTGTAATTTCTATTGATTTACTTTCTTTTAGTCTTATGCTCCGACTCTTCGGTATCTCTGAGGGTCCTAAGGCCTCCACGGGACAGGCTGGGCAAGGCTGTCTGTGTGAGAAGGAAGTCACTCGCTTCAGCGGAAGTGCCGCCATGTTTGTTGTTTCTGTTTATCGGCTTTGGTTGGGCGCTTCTCAAACGTGAACAATATGAACGGCCCCCATCCGGCTGACTAAGTTCATTCCCAGCATCCAAAACAGAGAGGAAGAAGAAATTAGAAAACAAAAGGACTCTGAAAAAGAAAGGGTCAAATAGTAAGAGTCATAGGCTCATCTTCGGTTTCATTGCATTTGACAGATGCTTTTTCTCAGTATAAACAACCCAGAGGTGGGAGCCAGATGCTAAAGACAGCCCGAGGCTCTGCAGCAATGTTAGTCCAGTCACAGTGTTGCAAAAGAAAGGAGCCTTTCCCTTCTTATTTTTTCTTTTTTATTTATTCTTCTCTCATACAATACATCTAGACCACGTCCCCATCCCTGTCCCCATTCATCCCAGTCCCCTTTCCCCATCTCCCCAAGATCTGCCGTTCCTCAGTTCCCCTAAGGGAAAAAGCACAGGTCTCAGGGATCTCAACGGAACAGGGCATAACAAGAAGACCTAACCTAATACCTATACCTAACCTAATCGTCACCAGAGAGGCCTCCTCTGGCAGCTTATAGGACTAGATGCAGACACCCACACCCTTACCTTCCTAACAGCTGTGTTTGGTTGGCAATGAGGCCGTTCATTCCCTCAGTCTTTTATTCATTTAACGGGACTCTTGGGCATATGCTGCCCTATGCAGCTGTGCAGTGAAAGCCTAGGCACACAGAGAACCACAAAAGACAGACATATAGCCACAACACCCTGGGCAGGATCCACCAGCAAGCATAAAACACACAGAGATAACTGAGCAAAGGAAGCAGGCGGCTGGCACACTTAAAACCATAAACGATTGCAGTGAGAAATTAAAGATGAAAAGAAATAGAATCTTTGTATATGAACTGGAAGATTTAATAATGGGAAACTATTCCTGTTACCCAAGCAGTCTACAGATGGAATGTAATCCTAATCAAAATCCCAATTATTTTTTGCAGAAATAGGAAAAAAAAATCCTAAAATTTATATGGTGTGTTAAATGACCTTTGAATGGCTAAAGCAATATTTAAACGAGGCTACAGCTGAAGGATGTCCCCTCCCTGATTTCAAAATAAAGCAAGAGTTAGTGAGATGGTGGGGTATTGTCCTCAGGACCTGTGGAGCCCAGCCGAGCCAAGAAATCAGCCTTGCGTAGGTGGTCAGATGATTCTGTGCAAGAGAGAGCTACAGCCAGATCGTGTGGGCAGGGATGGTTTGCTTATGGATGGTGTTGGCCAAACTGGCTAGCCATATGGCAAAGAGAGGCTGGACCCTGCTTTACACCATACACAACAATTAATTAAAAACTAACCAAAGACTCAAGATTAGGGGAAAAACAAACAAACAAACAAACATAAGCTATACAAATCCTAGAAGGGATCCCAGGAGAGAAGCTTCGGTGTGGCTGATCTGGTGACAGGATGCTTGCCTGTGACACCAGAAGTTAGGAAGCAGAACCAGCTGTATATCTGAGACTTCAGCGTGTTGAAGAACAGAGTCAACAGTGTGAAAAAGGCAGCTTATGTCCTGGAAAGAAATAGCTGTGGATAATAGAAAATCTATGCGAAGTATGTAGTGTGTGTGTGTGTGTGTGTGTGTGTGTGTGTTATATGCATGTGTGTACATGTGTGTATGCATGTAAGCACCCACACATGGAGGTCAGAGGTCAACATTAGGTATCTATCTTCCATCTCTCTCCACCTTACTTTTAGAGATGAGATTTCTCACTCAAACTCAAACTTACTTTTGGGCTAGACTGGCTGGCTAATGAGGCTCTGAGATGCACCTGTCTCCTCCTCCCAGCCCTGGCCTTACAGATAGATGCACACTGACATGTCTGACTTTGTGTGGTTGCTGGGGATCTGAACTCACATCTTCATACTTACAGAGCAGGTGGTTATTCAGCAATCCATGTTCCCAGCTGTTTTTTTTAAATCATGCCATTTTAGTTGTTGAGTGCAGGTCAGTCCAAGTTTAATCATGTTATAGATGTAACCAATGTGTTTATTTCTATTTATACTTAACATATTTAAATGTATTAACATATTTAATAAAAATACGCATGACAAACTATTTTTAATTATTTTATTTGTGAGATTAAACTCAGGATGCACAGGAACCCCTGCAACAAAATTGACTCAAGTTAAAAAAGTGGGCAAAGGGCTTGAAGAGACATTTTTCCAAAGAAGATACAGAGGTATCTAATAGGCATATTAAAATTCCTCACTGTCACTAACCATTAGACAAACAGAAATTCTAACCATGGGCTGTCACTTTGTATGCAATAGCATGGCTCATTAGGATACACACTATCATGGAAGCAATAATAACCATGTTAGTGAGAATATGGAGACACAGGAATGCTTGTGCTAAGAAGATCAACTGTAGAAAGGTAATTCCTCAGAGATGAAAGAACTACCATGTGGTGACCCTCACCTGGTGTCTTTGAACTTTTTTTTGAGAGTGTAATATAATTACATTATTTCCCCCTTTCCTTTCCTCCCTCCAAAGCCTCCCATATACTTCTTCTTGCTCTGTTTCAAATTGATGGCCTTTTTCATCAATTATTGTTATGTGCATATATGTATTCTTATAGATATGTATGTATATTTATGACTCTATATGTCATATATACATATAGAGTCCTAAGTATAGCCTGCTAGTCTATATAATGTTATTTGTGTGTATGTTTTCAGGGCTCACCTTTTGGTATTGGATAACCAATTGGTATGTTCTTCCCTGGGGAAGACTCTTTCTTCCACTCTCAACATTAGTTGCCTGTAGTTCTTTGAATAGGGTTGAGGTCCCATGATCTTTCCCCCATCCATATGTTTATGGTTGAGACCCTGTGACCTTTCCCTATCCACCTTAGTATGTCTACTGTTGTCTTTGTTCACCTCATGTTTGGGCAGTCATGTTGGTGAGACTTTACTGGTGTAGCTTCTGGCATTACTAGGAAACACAACCTCACAGAAAACTCTCTGATCCTCTGGCTCTTACAGTCTTTCTACATCCTCTTCTGCAATGATCCCTGAGCCTATGTGCAGGAGTGTTTGGTAGATGTAGAAGCCCATTGGGACTGGGCTTCACAGCTCTGCATTTTGATTGGTTGTGGTTTTCTGTAATGGTCTCCATCTGTTACAAAGAGAAGTTTCTTTAATAAGGGACGAGGACTACATTTATCTGTGGATATAAGGACTAATATTTAGAATGTAGTTAGGGGTTATGCTACTTTAGTAAAGTTTTGGTTTGTATGTTCCCCTCAAAGATCGATGACTTTACTAGTGTTGGTGGTTGGCTAGGTTTCTAGTACCAGGCATGGTTTTCTTCTTGTTGAATGTGTCTTAAATCCAGTGAGAGAGTTGTTGGCTACTGCCAAGGTATATATGACACTACTTCACCCTTAGGGTTATTAACAGTGTTGGTTATTGTTATAGTTCATGGCCATCATAGCTGGGTACAACTGTCAGTTATTTCGGTCCTATGCAATCTGGCATGATACCTTCTGGTACCATGAAAGCTAATCCTTAGGGATAAAGCACTCAGGTGAGTTCTAGATCAGGAGTCTCTAGGTCCTGCATCTGAAGTGCCTTTGGGACTTACCTTCCACCTCAAATGGGCAATTAAGGGCAATAGCAATAGGCTACAACATTTTAGGAGTCTCTTTGATGACTCTGACCAACAATTTAAAAGAGGGATTCTCATGCCTGGTGTTGAGGTTTGGTCTTTGGATCTGGGAGGGAGCATTGTCAGCCCAGATGAGAAATTTTCATTTTAACTGTGTATGTATATTTGTACAAAGAGTTATGTGTAGTATAGGGTTTTTAAAGGTGGATAGTCAACAGTATGATTTCTTTCAGACATCATATTTTTACTTTTAGCCTTCTCGATCCTCTTCTATACTTCTCTCTCTCCCCTCAAATTTCTTCCCCCAGTTCCCTGATGAGATCACGGTACACTGGCATCCCCTCTGCATCATCCCCCACCCCCATGGTGTGACTCTCCTGCTTTCCTGGTTCATGCAGTCACCCCAGGATGTGTACTCACATCTGAAGATTTGGAGCTCCCACCGCTGTCTTTTCAGCCCGAGGATGGCAGCAGCTTCTAGCTCTCGCTTCTCCATGGCAGGTATCTGCCATAGGTTCAACTCCCTTCATTCAATCCCTTCTCTTGTGCCTGTTTGAAGCACTTTGGGGTACCTAACTTTGAGCCTAACCGAGCAGTTTTGAAGGGCTTCACAAAGCTCTAAATACTGTTGAGAAGATATTTCACTAATGCAAAGCAAGATAGGAAGCAGACAGTATCATGACCCCCACCCCCATTTCCAGAAGAGTCACAAGAGCATGCCACCAGCTGGTTCCGTAGCACAGTGAAGGCGACTGTCAACAATGTACCGGTAAAGTGGCTTGGGTTTCTTGAGTGTGGTTTTACTTGTGAATTCATATAAATTGTCAAGTGGGATGAAAAGAGATGCTGGAATCTCTGACTTTATTTTAGATCATAAATATGATAAACATGGTGTTTTGTATCATAGGAACTCCTATAATCATAACTCAGCATGGCTACTCTGTGCAGTTTCCTAAGGACATATTTATTATATGATCACCTTGACAGCCTGGCATAAGGCCAGACACAAACCAGAAGGGAAGCCCAGGGTAGGCTGAAAAGAGGTCTGTGGATTGGAAATGAAAAGAATGAAAACTTACCTGCAGATTGCATATGTATCAATCTGTAAGCATTTGAGAATTTAGAGTTCAGAAGGGTTATTATGAGAATTTTAAGTGCTAGACACTCGGAGGGGAACCTCTCATGCAAAGTTAGTATTTAGAAATTGATATTTTTCACTCCCTAACACCTTTTAGTTTTTTTGTTTGAGACAGGGCCTCACTATGCAGCCCTAGCTGGCCTGGAACTCACTCTGTAGACCAGGCTGGCC